ATTGTCGACCCTTATGGCCGAGCGATCGATCCATGGTCAAATCGCTCTAATCAACTTGCGTGATTGGGGAGTCGTTTTACGGCTGATCCTTCGATTACCCGTTCCGACCATACCTACTGATCCATGACTGACCCTCGGTTCGGTCTGTACACCAATTCCTTGGCCATTTCCCTTGGTCGATTCGGGATCCAAATCGCGGATGTCACAATTTCACTTACCAAACACAATTTGCATTTTAGAAAACTCATTCAACTTAAAGTCCTTTACATTTTGTCAAAGACTTTCCTCCAAAGTGTTTCCAAACGCAGCCTAAATCCCCTCCCAAAAACCCTCAATTTCTAGTAAATTACCTCCGACCAACAAGTCCACGAAGCACACCACCAACGTCCCCCACCAGCAATAACTCTCGTCTACCGTCTCTCCATTAGTGTGGCAACTTCGTCCAGCTCATGCTTGCTTCAGAGGGTATGTTACTCCCCGGCGTGGTGACTTCCTCGGATTCATGCACGCTTCAAAGCGGGGAGAATTGTCCAAAAAGTCCTAAAACCAATAGTAAGACAATTGATTCAGTTTTAAATTTTTTAATTGGACAACTAGTTCTAAACCTTTTGAGGATTTTCCAATATAATCATTATGGCCAATTTTAGACAGAAATTGCTTGTGTGGTATCCGGCCGTGGTATGCCCAACGCTGACATAGATGACTTTTGTAATTTTTCTTATTTGATTTTTTTCCTATTCTTTTCTTTCTTATCTTTTTTTTTCCACTGTTTATCTTCCTGGAAGGGACAGCGGGGGTTGCTGGGGCCTAGATGACGGTTGGCAAGGGTCGCCGGCCATAGGAGAGGGCCATGAAGATCTTTCCTTTTCGTTATTTTCTCTCCTTTTTTTTCCCACTGTTCATCTTCCCAAAAGGGCCAACAAGGTCACCAGGGTCTCGACGATAGCCAGAAAGATTTGATTGGAAATCGTCAAGAATGTTTAGGACTAAATTGGCCAAATTGAAAAGTTTAAGATTGAATTGTCCGCCATACAATAGGTTTAGTGCTTGTTGAACATTTATCCTTTAAAGAAAGTGACCTTAAGCTTGTTCTTTCAATAATCATATTCAATGAACAGGCCACATCATGTGTTCACCTAGAGAAGGTTGTACGATAAGAATCAAATCTTAGTATGAATGATGATGCAATAACCATAATAAAGTTAATGACCTAGCGTGTGATTGAATCCTTAAAAATAGGGAGCATTGATCTCATTCGTAGCAAGAAAATAAAAGTGAAATTGGTAACATGACAAAGTCCTTATTAACTTTTGTCCAATGCATATTGTACACTTGCAACTCGAATTGATTCAATTAAAGTTGAGTATTTTTTTCTACTATTCATCTCCCGAAAGGGTCTATGGGCGTCACCGGGGTCTCGGTGATGGCCAGAAGGACTACATTGGGAAATGGTTAAAATGTCTAAGACTAAATTAGCTAAACTAAAAAAGTAGGACTAAATTGGCCGCTGAATATTTATGACTTTTAGACAATTATGCCTCATAAAAAGTGTTTGCCATAAATAGTTAAACTTGATCTTTCAATAATTATATTTAATGAACATGCCACTTCATGTGTTCACCTATAGAAGGTTGTAAGACATTAATGAGATTATGGTATGAATGATGATGCAATTGCCATAAAAAGTTAATGATGTAATGTGTAATTAAATACTTAAAGATAAGGAGCATTGATATCATTCGTAGCAAGAATGAAAGTGAAATTGGTAACACTATAAAGTCCTTATTAACTTTTATCCAATACTCATTGTACACTTGTAATCTGAGTTGATTGAATCAAAGTGAACTTTCTGTATTTCTTTGCCACATTTCATCTTCCCGAAAGGGCCGATGGAGGACGTCGGGGTTTCGGTAATGACCGGAAAGACTACATTGGAAGATCGTCAAAAGGTTTAGGACTAAATTGACCAAGTTATAAAGTTTAAGATTGAATTGGCTTATGAACAATAGGTTTAGGACTTTTTCGATAATTATCCCCCAAAGAAAGTGTCCGCCAAAAGTAGTTAAACTTGTTTTTTCAGTATTCATATTCGATGAATAGGCCACATCATCTGTTCATCTATTGAACGTTGTAAAACAAAAATGCAATTATGGTACGAATTATAATGCAATTGCCATAATAAAGTTAATGAAATAATGTGTGATTGAATCCTTAATGATAGGGAGCATTGATCTCATTTGTTAGCAAGACAAATGAAAGTGAAATTGATAACATGAGAAAGTCCTTATTAACTTTTGTCCAATGTGTATTGGACACTTATAATCTGATTTGATTAGATTTAACTTTCTTCATTTTCTTTATCTTTTTCCGTTGTTCATCTTCCCGGAAGAGACGGTGCAGGTTCCCGAGGTCTTGGCGACGAATGGAAGGGCGACATTGGAAAATCGTGAAAAGATTTAGAACTGAATTGGCCAAATTAAAAAGTTGAAGACTGAATTGACCATCGTACAATAAGTTTTAGGATCTTTTGGACAATCATTCCTCAAAGGAAGTGTCCGCCGGAAGTAGTTAAACTTGCTCTTTCAATAATCATATTCAATGAAAAGGCCACACCATGTGTTCATCTATAGAAGGTTGTAAGATTCCTCTTCACGATGATGAATGATGCTCATGACTTGGTTTGTCCTCTCACTAATCGCATTATTTATATCCACTAAACTATTGAAAGATATTCAAGTCAGGCGGTCGATTGGCATGAGTCTTTATTGATGAGGACTTTATCTAATTTCAACTGCGTGTCCATTCATGAGGATGATTAGTGAGAAAGAATTGGCTTTTTCTCTCGATAATTGCCTTAACTTTATTCGGCGACAAGCAGAACATAGTCATCACCAGTACTAAATTTTCTAAACCTGGAACATACTTTATAAATGTTAGTCACCATCATTGAACCTAGTCAGTCATGCTAATGTGGCAAGTTCCGTAAACTTAGGAGGTTCTCCTGCACAAGCTTGGTATTTATACAGCTAGTTGATGGTGGTGAATAAGAGGTTGCAATTCGAACCAGCAAATACAAATAATATTCCTTGGCCCAAAAAAAAATACGTATGGAAAGCAAATCCTATCCTTGCTTTCAACCTTAAATTATTTGCTAAAAATCTCGCCAAAGACCCAGAGGTATTGTACAAATTGCTATTGCATGTTGAAGTCAATGGGTAGAGATGTCAAATGTCAATATAATCTCAGCGAAACATCTCACATCTTCTAGAAGATGTTCTCTTACGTATTGTAGTCGAAATACGAACCTTGTAATTATAAGCCAAAGCTTTGTTTCTTTAAAGCTTAAATTAAAAATAATTTAAGTTACATGTACCTTAAAAATATTAAGTCATTTAAGTGTTCACCTAACGATCTTCTCAGCTTGGTGATACTAATCAGAAATATTTCATGCTAGATTTGTTAGGATTGATTTATAAAATTAATATGTAAAATGAAGTATCAGTCTGTTATTAATTTGTAAATATGACCCACTTATTTTAAATGATCACTTATAATCTGACATGTCACTTTATAAATCAATTTCGTGAAATCCATTTTGGTTAGTCCAGCACTACTCTAGCAATATATATTATATATATATGGAAAATAAGAATGTGACAGCACCATTGCTCCTAGGAGAGGAACGGTGCTGCCTCCACCACATATTTTCTCAAAGAAACCAAACAATTGAGAAAATTGTCAATCCCACTTGATGGGATTGGTAGCCTACCAAGAGGGATTTTTCAAATCAGAAAATTTAATAAATCAACCAAAACAAAAATAATGAAATAGAAAAGACACTTACTAGAAACATCATCAAATAAATATTTTTACATTCAATGTAAAAAGAACAGTTTAAACATTTCTATTGTAAGACAAAACAAATGTAGGATTTCTATTAACAACATCACCAATGTATAACATTTTTCACACTTGCAGTCGTGAGAGAAACATATCCATCATTTAACAAAATAAACAACATTTTCAAAATTTAAACTCGAAAGCTTAGAAGAAAAACAAAATGAGCTAGCATCATTTCACCTGCTCAGTTGAATTTGCTTAGAGGCAAATTCTGGCGAAATAGTTGCATATTGATTATTATGATATATTTGATATTGAGAAAATAACACAAATGATCTCTTGAACTTTGATCTAATATATAATGTCGTCTTTGGACTTCTAATTTTTTCAATATGGTCCTTGAACTATTAGTAAATGTTCAATTTAGTCTCCAAAATATATAAAAATATCCAAAGTTGTCCTTCCATTAATTCAAGTCAATAGAATCTGCTAATGTGGCTTCCAATCCATTAAGTTTGAACATTAGACAACAAAAAAAAAGTTACACCTAGATTATCGAAGTAAGATATTTATCTCAAATCAGGATATAATAATTTTACGTCCTCAGTAATGATGGGCATGTTAATGTCCTAATTTTTCTTATATATTTCTAAAGTAGATGGATAAAAAGATGGAACATGTTGACCCATCATTTTTTAAAGTCAAACTCAGTATATAATAATTCACGTCATCAAATAACGTCCAATTTGTTATTTGAGCAAATGGAATGACTATATTGAATATTTACTAATAGTTCGGGAATCACACTGAACAAATTTAAAATCCAGGACCGACATTGCATATTGGGTCAAAATTTATGGGGCATTTATTTCGGTTTCCCCTAGATATTCAATTTCAAGATTTGTTGAATAAATTTATGTTGTTATTATTTGGTTTTTGAGTAATATCTACCGTTTGCAAGCGGCGGTTCCATTTGTTATGGACTGACGGATCTCATTGCCGGCTGCCCATCTCTTTACAAATTCAAACATGCGGCCGCCAAAGCTCCGTCAAAAATTAAGATAAGGGCATCGCCATATGCTAGTCGGACCCTATAAATATCCACATTCACAGCAAGCTCTTGAGTCAACAAGACGACCCCTTTCATTATCACCCCCACCATCATGCCCAAAAATCAACTTCAGTCGGGCGAAAACCAAACAAAAATGGAGAATCACAGCTTGCTATTCTTGTTCACAACCTCTCTAATAATCATCGCACTCACTCACAAGCTCTTGCGCAGATTAATCAAAAGAACGCCCAAAAAGAACCACCCTCCAAGCCCACCTTCCCTCCCCGTCATCGGCCACCTCCACCACCTCAAGCAGCCCATCCCCGAGACCCTCCTCGCCCTCTCCCGTGCCTACGGCCCCGTCCTCTCCCTCCGCTTCGGCGCCCGCCCCGTCGTCGTCGTCTCCTCTGCGTCCATTGCCGAGGAATGCTTCACCCAGAACGACATTGTCCTTGCGAACCGACCCCAGTCCATCGTGAATAAGCATATTGGGTACAACTACACCACCCTAATGGCTGCCCCCTACAGCGATCACTGGCGCAACCTCCGCCGCATCTGCGCTGTCGAGATCTTCTCCTCGCGCTGCCTCAACATGTCGCTCGGCATCCGTAAGGATGAGGTCAAGCGCCTCCTGAGGAAGCTGCTCTTGTGCCAAAGCGGCGGCGGCTTCGCGAGGGTGGAGCCAAGGGCGGCGCTGACGGAGCTGACGTTCAACGTGATCATGAGGATGTTGGCGGGGAAGAGGTACTGCGGGGAGGACTTGAGCGACGTGGAGGAGGTGGTGAAGTTCAGGGACATCATCCGGGAGCTCGTGAGGTTCTCGGGGATCTCATACGCGGGGGACTACCTGCCTCCACTGAGGTGGATCGACTACGATGGGTTCCTGAAGAGGATGTTCAAGATTGGGAAGAAGACGGATGGGTTCTTGCAGGGGCTGATCGACGAGCACCGGAAGAAGAAGGAGAGTGAGGAGGAGAAGAAGAGCATGATCGATCACTTACTGGTGGAGCAGGCGTCGCAGCCGGAGTATTACACGGACGAGATCATCAAGGGGTTCGTGCTGGTGAGTTTTTCTTTTCATGTCTGGGGAGGTTTTTCGGTTGGTTTGGGTGGTTGCCTGTTTGATCTCTTTTGTTCTTTCTCGGGTTCTACTTGTTGATGGGCTGCGCGTGATTTGAGCGTGGTGCTCTAGATTGATAAAGTTGTGTTTTGAAACATGCTATTTTCCTATACATTCTGCATAGTGTATCGGTATTCATGTCACGAAAAATTAAAAGTAGATAGTTCTCGAGTCTTATGTGCCAATTCAGTTCAGAACTAAAGAATTTGTGTTTTGTAAGATAATACTAAACCATTCATATGTCGATTTGGCTATTCAATTCACAGCACGGCTTTCATAAATTGCTACGGGATGGACCTACTTTTCGAATTTTCCTTACATAAATCAAATCTTCTTCCATTATTTTTGTAATCTCAAGTATTTTAAGCTGAACGATATAGGTCTAGGTAGAATCAATATTCCGAAATTTTCGATCCTATACTTAATCTAGATCTGCAGCTTCTAGATTATTATGATCGGCCCTTTCGCAAATTTGTTTTAATTTCCATTTTAGCGATTCTCCTTGTAAGTTGGTAATTTTTTAATAACAATATTTGGGCTGAATAATAGTTTTTGGGCCACTATAAGAGTAACAGTATGCTGTGAGCAACAAATTTTTGAATAAATTGACCCAACAATAATTTATAATTATTTATTATTTATTATTTTGTGGTCCATAACATGTTAATCTCACAGTGAATTCAGGACTGTCATTTAATCATTTCTCTTCAAGAATCAACCGTTGCTTAAATGGGAACCTTACCAAAGTTATGATGAAAATTAGGATTTTTATATACTACACAACCTGTGGTACTTTTTTGTTACATAATCTACCTCCTTTATTGTTGATATGCATATTTAACTATTTGAAGAAGATATGGATAGTTGTAGTTTGGAAAATTAACTAATATCCAAATCACTGGCAATGGATGAAAATTGACTAAAATATGAGTTACACAATCCAAGAAGTCCCGATCAGGTGTATTTTGCTATGCTTCTTTGTGAGCCTCAAGGAAGACTTGAATTTAATGTCACGATTTTAAATAAGCAGATTCTACTGATTGCTGGAACTGATGCACAATCTATCACAATTGAGTGGGCGCTCAACAATTTGCTCAACCATCCCAACATCTTAGAAAAGGCAAAAACAGAGATCGACACACATTGTCAGGATCGTTTGGTCGACGAATCGGATCTCTTGAAGCTACCTTATATTAAAAACATTATCTCTGAGACGCTTCGCTTACACCCACCTGCGCCGTTTCTGATACCCCACTACTCATCGGATGAGTGCATAGTAGGAGGCTACGGTGTGCCCCGTGGTGCAATGGTGCTGATTAATGCTTGGGCCATTCACCGAGACCCCGAACAGTGGCCTGATCCCATGGCCTTCAAGCCGGAAAGGTTTGAAAGTGGTGATGGCCAAATGAATAGGTTGATGTTGCCTTTTGGGATGGGGAGGAGAGCATGCCCCGGTGCACCTTTGGCTCATAAAGTGGTGGGCTTGACTTTGGCTTCGCTCATTCAATGCTTTGAATGGAAGAGGATTGGTGAAGAGGAAGTTGACATGGGGGAGGCTGAAGGTCTAACAATGCCCAAAGAAAAGCCATTGGAAGCTTTGTGCAAAGCCCGAGAAATGACGAATAGAGTTCTCTTTTAATCATCTAATGATATATGAGGGTGGCCCATTTACGTTGTAGTTTTGAATAACAAGGGTGGCCCATTTACGTTGTAGCCATAACAGGTTGGTTTTGATGATGTAATCGTGTGCTAGCGTTGAATGCTTTTGTTTCAGTTCATAAGCGCAGCTAAAGAAATATGCATATTTGGTGGACATTGCAGGCCCTTTTTTCAACGACTTTGGAGAGAGGTAGTCTCTTTAACGAAATTAGACATAGGTGAATGTTCGCACTCCAATATTGGCGAAAAAATCAATCGAGTCCCAAACCCGTCTTCTAAACCATGCAGTCAAAATCCTTCTTCTAGAGAATGCCAACGTGGCAGCAGAAAATTATATAAGTGGCAACCCTAAAGATGGTGACGATACGAGACCGAGAAGTGATATTACATTTTTTAGGTCCAATCATACTGCCTGAAAAGTTTTTAGGACTTAATTGCATTCCACACATGGAGCTCAAAGATTATATGAATTGATGAACACATGTTCGAGATAAAAGATAAAGTAATAGGCCGTTTGGTTTTGTTTACTTTTTCTGTTCTTGAAAGTAAAATATTAGTTTTTCAAGTGAAAACACCATTTGAATTGCTATAGACACAATCAATTATTTTTAAAACAAAAGTCAACATAATCCATTATCTTGAAATAAAATAAAGTGTTTTTTTTCCATAAGTTGAAACTTCTTCACAAAAACATGCATGGGAGGTTTTACTGCCTTTGAATTTTTCTGTGAGTGATGAAATTACAAATTTAATAACAGTCGGATATCATTACCATCAGTATAGATCTCTATATCATTACCATCAGTATAGATCTCTCTCATATCATGTAATGAGAGCTATTGACATCTTTGAAATCAAGCTCGAATTTAAGCAAAATCAAGTTCTCCAAGCTCTTAGATATACATGCTTATCAAGTCACTCTCATTGGTTGTTCAAAGCACCACGTAATTCCACTAAAGCAAGAGAAGGGGTGAATATGAAGCCACGACTCCTTCATCAAATCAGCTTCTTACATTATTCTAAAGAAGTCACCCATCAGCCCATTATAATAATAATAATATATCAACCAAAAATTAGTAATGACTTGTGTTGGTTTTCCTCATCTAGGGGACATCACTTAACACCTGATTAATTTAACAAGATTCTAATCACAAGAAAATACGTGTATTCTGTTCCTTTCATTGTTTGATTGATTGCTTTGCGAAATATCTTTTTTCCATTTGGATACGTTTCCAACCGATGAATTGCAATGATCTTTAACTACAATTATTGTTCTCAATTCATCTAGTTATCTAGAAGAATTAATTCCGATTGGATCTCCACAGCTGACATTCTTTACCGGTCATGCCCATCGGTCATCGTAGCATCTGCTTCTTGCCTTGTCGATACCCAACATGTTCTATACTCTTAATCCACATTGATTTCCTATAGTCAATGACTCTATTTATCATAACTTCATGACTCGGACAATGAGATCACGCCAGTTATAACTCGTGGGGACAATGATATCTTATTCTACGAGCAAACTTTTCTGTGACTAGCTCCTAAAAGCACTACTTCCCAGTTTTGCTATATATGTTGTACATCAATCATTTTGTGTACCTCAATTGGTGGCTGGGAAAAACATAGCAGACCAATCTTGCTCATCCTGTCCAAACTCTTCCTAAATTCAAACCTGAGGATGGAACTTTCTCCATCCTCCACCTTCTTTCCTCTGGCTCTCCTCCTCCTCATCACTCTCAAACTCTTGTCGCAATGGCTAAACCGACCCAAGAACCTCCCGCCAAGTCCACCTACCATCCCCATAATCGGCCACCTCCACCTCTTGAAATTCCCCCTCCACCGCACCCTCCACGCCCTCTCCCAAATTTACGGCCCCATCCTCTCCCTCCGCTTTGGCTCCCGCCGGGTGGTCGTCATCTCGTCAGCGGAAGCCGCTGAGGAGTGCTTCACTGCAAACGACATCGTCCTCGCCAACCGCCCCGACCTTCTTATGAACAAGCACCTAGCCTACAACTCCACCACCGTCCTCGCGTCCCCTTACGGCAACCACTGGCGCAACCTCCGCCGCATCTGCACCCTTGAGATCTTCTCCCCCACCCGCCTTAACAGCTTCTTGCCCATCCGGAGGGACGAAATCAAGCGGCTTCTCCTAAAACTCCACAAGACCTCATCCGGCGATCAAGCGCCTGATGAGGGCTTCACAAAGGTGGAGCTGAAATCGATGATCTCAGAGCTTACGTTCAACATCATATTGCGGATGGTCGCTGGGAAGAGATACTACGGCGACGACGTGAGCAACATCAAGGAGGCAGCGTCCTTCCAGGAAATACTGAAGGAGATCTTGAGGTACAGCGGGGCTTCAAATCCGGGGGACTTCTTGGGGGTTTTGAGTTGGGTCTATAGGGGTTTCGAGAAGAGAGTGTTGAGGCTGAGCAAGAGAACGGACGAGTTCTTGCAAAATTTGATTGAAGAACACCGAGAAAGTTATAAAAATGGTGTTTGTGGTGGTTCAGAGAGCAAGAACACTATGGTGGATCATTTGCTGTCGTTGCAGGAGTCACAACCGGAGGATTACACTGACCAGATTATTAAAGGGCTTATTCTGGTACGGCTTGTGGCTTTCAATACAAAAATCTATTTGAAAGGGAAAGAGAACGAAGTATATCTCCATTACAATTTGTCCATTAATTTGGATTTGTCACTTCTAATAATAGTTTTCTAAAATAAGTTAAAATAAAATACCAAATAGAAGGGCGGTTTGCCAACATTCAAATGCACTACAGTCAACATTAAAATGCACATCGAGTCCCAAATCTTTTCCTTTTATAAGAGTATAAGTCAAAATTTGGAGGCCACAGCTAGAATAGATTCATATCAATAATTTATCTCTTACTTTCTTTCTCTCTGCGATACACAGGTTATGATTTTAGCGGGTACCGACACTTCAGCCGTGACACTTGAATGGGCAATGTCGGAGTTACTCAATCATCCTTGTGCTTTGAAGAAAGTTGCGCAGGAGTTGGATAATGTAATTGGCGAGCAACAATTGATAGACGAAGCCGACACAGCAAAGCTTCCCTATCTCCACAGCATTATATCCGAAACACTGCGATTACATCCATCAGTTCCACTTCTTGCACCACACATGTCCTCCGAGGATTGCTCAATAGGTGGATACGATGTTCCTCATCTCACCATTGTACTAGTCAATGCATGGGCCATCCACAGGGACCCGAAATTGTGGGATGACCCGACTAGTTTTAAGCCAGAGAGGTTTGAAAATGGTGAAGTTGGTCCCTACAAGTTCTTGCCGTTCGGGCGCGGAAGGCGGGCATGTCCTGGAGCGGGCTTAGCTCAACGGATCGTGAGCTTAGGTTTAAGCTCTTTGGTTCAGTGTTTTGAATGGAAGAGAGTCAGCCAGGAATTAGTGGACATGACTGAAGGAAGAGGCGCAACTATGCCTAAGGTGGTGCCCTTGGAGGCAATGTGCAAACCTCGTACGATCATGGCCAAGATTATCGATTAGTGAGTAACGATGGACACGTTGATTTTCCTACTGTTTATGTTTTTACCAATCCTGAAATGTAACGAAACTTGATAGATGTAAACTTTAATCAAATAATGTTGTGTTGTGAGAATTGTGTATAAAATTAATGTGTGGAGCGACGTGGTAAGCTGTTATTAATTATTTAACAAAGTTCATTTGTTCATTTGATCGCTTACGATTTGTTACAACGCTTAGTATACCACTTCAATTATGAAGCATTACTCATAAAAGATACATATCCTGCAAAATGTCAAGGTTAATTACTCTACACTTAGTCACCAATCAAGTTGTTGATTGGATTGAAGAGGGCGACGAAGCTTTAGGACTTGTTCTCAGAACATTACTGCTGGCCAGAACTCTCTTTTTCCTCTCTCTCTCTTTTTCCCAGCTAAAAAGGAACATCAAGGAACTCTCCAACAACTTTTGTCACTGGAGATTGTTCAATTATGTGGCAGTCTTTGTGCTTACAATAAGACAACTTCAGCGCAGACATAAGACAAGAAAGGAATAATAGCTTGGCCTCTGCATTATATAACAGCTAAGCTCGACGGCACAAGGTTGTTCGGGTACATATACATCATTCTAGGATTGTGTCCTCTGCACCAGCATCATTAGCATTAAGGCTCCGTTTGAAAAATATGACTTTTTTGAAAAACATTTTTTAGGAAAATGACAATATTCTTCGATATTTGGCTGAAACCTAAAAATGAACTGAAAAATATTTTTCATCATTGAGTAAGAAAAATCTAATTTGATTTTTCTAAATAAACATCGATTATTCGGGCGCTAATGACTTGCACATATAGCAGTCGAGAAATCAGATATAGGCACTAGGGTCCTAGGTCCGGCCTCGATGGACCCCGACCCTGGCACCAGGGACCAGGGCACAGACTCCGGACTCTCAATCCCGACCTCAATGGACCCGAGCATGGGTAATGGGGACTCGGGCTCAGGCATTGAGGTCTCGGGCCCGACCTAAATGGACACGAGTCGGGCCTCGATGGACCCGGACGCAGGCGCGTGGGTCTCAAGCCTAGCCTTGATTGATCGGGGTGGGCACTAGCGTCACGGACCCATCCTCAATGGACCCAATGGGCCTACACGTCGGGGACTCTGGCATGGGCACTGGGGTCTAGGCTAGGCAAGGATGCCAAGGTGCCAGGTCTAGCCTTGATGGACATGGGCATGGGTGCCGAGGACATGGGCCCAGCCCCAATAGACCCAAGCTCGGGCCCCAAGGTCCCAAGGCCGGCCTCAATGGACACAGGCGCGGCCTCAAAGGACATGGGCCCAAGCGCCGAGGACCTAGGCACTATAACTGGGGTCACAGTTCCTAGGTCGGCCACGGGCATTGGTGTCCCGAGCTTAACCTCTATGGACCTGGGCTCGAGCACCGGGGTTCCGAACCCTGCCTTTTTGGACCTGGGCTTGGCTTCGATAGACCCCGACCGGACCCGGCCCCAACCTGGAGATGATGCCAGGAGCACGGGAGCAAGCATTGGGATTCCCGTGCCCAAATGTAGAGTTTCTGGTCCAAGTGCCGATATATAGTTATATTTTAAAAATTGATTTTCGATTTTTTAAAAAGAAAATCATTTTTCTAAATTTAAGTATAAATTTTCCATTAACATATTTTTCTAAGTGATCCAAACGCCGGAAAATGAGGAAAATGTTTTTCATGAAACAAACGGAGACAATGACTTTTTACATTCTGGAGTTATGTTCCTCGTTCTCAAGCTTAATGCCGTACTCCATTAGAGTATCAACAAGCCTCGTGCATTAAGAGAGGTTGAATCCTGAGAGTTTTCCGAATGGAGGTTTTCACATGACTCCACTCCACGGAAAAGGCTCAAAGTAGCATCTTCTGTGTTTGCGTAGGTCTACCCTTGGCTAGCAAGACCATTGAGGATGTCTGTGTGGTGCATATACATCTTAATGATGTTTTCATGCGGCTTCATCTTGAGCATTTGATTGTTGTCTAGAATTCATCTCTCTGATTCTGTGACTTCGTAAGTTCGCTTGTCTGTTCTTCTCGGGATATGATTGCAGGAGCCTGGATGTGGAATGGCCATTGTTTTTGCACCACTAGTTGGTGCTACAGGCGGCACCGGATCTAATTTCTTGTCGAGGTATAATAAAGATGGATGCTTCTTAGATATCAACGCCTATCAAGTCACTTTCATTGATTGTTTAAAGCACCACGTAATTCCACTAAACCAAGAGAAGGCTGGATCCGCGTCCATGCATGCGATTTCCAAGCAAAACTTTGGGTGGCGGAATATGAAGCCACGCCTTTCTCAAAAATCAGTTTAGATTATTCTACAAAAGTTGTTGGCCGTGAAAACGGTACTCAAGATCTCCATAACTAGAATCTAGAATATAATAATCGAGTAAAAGGGTAATCCAAGATCTCTATAACTAGAATCTAGAATATAGTAATCGAGTAAAAGAGATTTGCGCACATGATTTGGAATCCATCGTACTTAATGCGGAATAACGACGATATCACTAGCTTAATAAAATTGTCCCTCACAATAGTAAATGCTCCTTATGTGAGATAATTTGTGCATCAAGATTAGAGGAGAGACTTGATCACTATTTATAGAGTTTTAAGTTAGGTCCTCTCATCATGGAACAGGCCTTACTCGGCTCAAACTAGTCAGGCCCATATTAGACTAATTAATAATTTTTAAATCTTATATTATTAGACCAATCCCGTAAAATAGTAAATTATAATATCAATTAATTTAGTTCACATCAAAATAACTCTTACAAAAGTCACCCATCGAACCATAGTTATAATACAAAAACCAATGATTGGCCATGACTAGTGTTGAGAAATTTTGATACGTTTCAAATCAAAGAATTGCAATGATCGTCAACTGCAATAGTCGCCGTCACTCCATTTAGTAAATACTTTCAATTTGCCTTGTCGCATCAACTTGCTTAATACTGTTAGTTGACTATTACACCAGCTAACGGTGATACTTACAAGCACAGTTATGGTGGTCATTGACAACGATGAATCCTTTGAATTTTATATGAATTTCATAATCTCTAAAAAGTTGATATAATAAAAACTCATTTTGTAATTATACTTTTCTGTGACCCACTCGTAAAAGCACTGCTTCCGAATGTCCTAAGTACAGTACATCAATCATTTTTGTGTACATCAATTAGTGGCTGGCAAAAGAACATAGTACATCCATCTTGCTTATCCTGTCCAAACTCTTCCAAAATTCAAACCCAGACATGGAACTTTCTCCATCCTCCACCTTCTTTGCTCTGGCTCTCTTCCTCCTCATCGCTCTCAAACTCTTATCGCGATGGCTGAACCAACCCAAAAACCTCCCGCCAAGTCCACCGACCATCCCCATCATCGGCCACCTCCACCTCCTGAAATTCCCCCTCCACCACACCCTCCACGTCCTCTCCCAAACCTACGGCCCCATCTTCTCTCTCCGCTTCGGCTCCCGCCGGATGGTCATCGTCTCGTCAGCGGAAGCTGCCAAAGAGTGCTTCACCACTAACGACATTGTGCTCGCCAGCCGCCCAGCTCTTCTCATCAACAAGAACCCCGGCTACAACAACACAATCGTCATCTCCTCCCCTTACGGCGACCACTGGCGCAACCTACGCCGCATCTGTGCCCTTGAGATCTTCTCCTCCACCCGCCTGGCTTCTTGTCCATCCGGAGGGACGAAATCAAGCTGCTCCTCCTGAAACTCCACAAGACATCATCCTGCGATCAAGCGCCTGCTGAGGGTTTCACAAAGGTGGAGCTGAAATCGATGTTCTCCGAATTGACATTCAACATCATAGTGCAGATGGTGGCCGGGAAAAGATACTACGGCCAGGACGTGAGCGACATCGAGGAGGCGGCGTCATTCCGGGAGATGGTGAAGGAGATCATGAGCTACGGCGGGGCTTCGAATCCAGGGGACTACTTGGGGATTTTGAGGTGGGTCTTCAGGAGATTCGAGAAGAGACTGTTAAGGCTGAGCAAGAGAACGGACAAGTTTTTGCAAAAGTTGATTGAAGAACACAGAGAAAATGATAGAAATGGTGGTTGTGGTGGTTTAGAGAGCAAGAACACTATGGTGGATCACTTGCTGTCGTTGCAGGAGTCACAACCGGAGTATTACACTGACCAGATTATTAAAGGGCTTATGCTGGTACGTAGATAACCAAAATTCTTTCTATTAGATCCTTATCATGTGCTAATATATCCATGCTTAGATCATCCACCCGAATTCATAACTAGCTACCCAATTTATGAAGTTAGCATAGTAATTTCTTGGACGTATCAAGTAGGCTTTTTCCCTATGAACAAAGAAACTGTGGTAATAGTTTATCTTACATGAACGGTGGGTCGACGGCCTGTAAACGAAAATTGATCGGGATATCTTTTAGATATAGATATAAGAATAATTGGGGATAATTGTCTAAAAAGTCATAAATCTATTATACTACGATCAATTCAATCCTAAACTTCATAAAAATTTGTCAATGATCCTAAATTGAATAGAGCAACGAAAATTGTACCACACTAAATCCAATAATTGACGTTCCTGAGTCCATTATTTGAGGTTGTATCAGGAATAGTATTCTCATGTGGACGAAAATTCACCGGAGATAATGATCTTGGCCATTCCACACATTTAATATTCTGTGACCTGGGCTCCATTTCGCAGTTAGGTCAGAATAACCAGAGGCTGGAGCATTTTCGTTCAAAGGAAATTTTTTAATTTATTTTTTAATTTTATATTTTTCTCTATTCTTTTTTTTTTCCAATAAGGACCTGCAAGCCCTTGCCGGCCACCTTGCCCAGATCTGGCGAGGGTTGACCTTACCTGTCGCCAGCAAGCAAAGGCGGCTCTCGCCTGTGGCTTTCGAGGGCAGCCTCGCCTGTGACCCTCGCCCAAATCTAGCGAGGGCCAACCTCGCCTATGGTTGACAAGGGTGGCCTTGCCTAGGCGAGGTCGTCCCTCGCCCACTCGTCTCTGAGCATCGCTAGTGAAGAAAGAAAAAAAGGAAAAAAGAAAAAAAAAGTGAAAAATTCAAAAAAAAGTAAAGGATGAAAATGCTCCCGAAAAGTCAGGCCCTTATTTTA